AGGCTGCTCTTGGCCCTCAGCCTGACCTGACCGCCCCGTTCCCCGACCCCAAGTCCACCCTGGCCCCCAGCCTGCCCTTGTCGCCCTGCTCCTGATTCCCAGTCTGCCCTGACCACCCCGTTGCCTGACACCCGGCCCACCCTCTCCACCCTGCTCCTTGACCCCCCAGCCCCAGCTCCATCACCCTGCCCCTTCCGTCCACAGCCCTGGCCGGTTCAGGAGAGCTGGCCGTGCTAGCCCTGCTCTGGATGCTTCAGCTGCACGCAGACCACGTTGGGGCCTCGGGGTGCTAGAAAAGCAGGATCCTTGGGGCACGATGCTCTGCCATGGGAGCCGGGGGTGGGGGCTGCCTGACAGTCAGCCCCTTTGTTATAGATGTGTCTGTACTTCACCTGCTAGTTTGTCTTTAAGTTGCTCATAGTGTAGCCCCTAGCCCTGTCCAGCTACCTGTGCAGACCAGAGCTAAGGGGCTGTATGCAGCATGAACCCAAACTTGCAGAAGGGGCTGCTAGCTCAGGGCCCTCCCTGGCTACAGGGAGGCCTGATAACAGGGAGTTCTCATAAAATTCAACCCTTCCCTCCCCTCATTGTCCCCATCTTCAGTTTGTTGAATAGAAACAAGACATAAAAATACGAGACAAATAATGCCCAGCTGCTGAGAGCACAGCTCAGCAAACTCCCCTCGAGGCAGACCCGGCTCAGCCTGCTACCTTTCTGGAGGGACCTGTATGCCTGTTATAGCATGTCCTCAGCCAGAGAGGGTGAAGATGCTGTACAGCCATCAGCAATGGGGAGAGGTTATAGCAGAAGAGGACAGTACCTACAGGGTGGGATTTCTTGGATACATGGCGGAACCTGCAAATCCAGCACTGTCTTCTTGCTGCATGCAGCAGCAATAGGACAGGGAACCTGCAACCAGCTGCCTCCACTGGGGAGCAGCTGACTGCAGGATGACATGACACTAGTGTTTGTGGGATCTGCTACTGGACGAAAATAACAGCAGAAAGTTAGGACAGAAACAGAACTGCCAGAGGCTTTAAGTATTTTACCATGAGTACAGCAAGTGAAAGGGATTTTTTCAGAAGAGGTAAATTCTTTACCCTTTCCTGTACTAAAAATCCCTCATCAGGTAGTGACTGATGATTGCTGATTGGTTTTGGCCGGATTAAAGGCATCCTAAATGAATGCTTGTTTGAAATAAACAGGAGTTGCACAGAATGCGCAAAATAAAGAGATAATCTAGGCTTGGTAAGAAGAGATTCATGAAAGCAGTCATTTTATTTGTGTTTTGTTTAGCCCTCTGAATAACTGCCCACATATTTCCATTGTTTTATTCCTGGTCTTCATCTGCCAGATGAAATGCTTCCCTCATTTATTTTCAGGTCCTAAGAGTGGCAAATATGATAGGAATTTGAATAAATTCAACAGTAGCACCAGATGGAGCTTGGTATTAGGACACCTGGAGGAGATAGAACAGAATAAAACACACACGATTACTAAATATAATCAACACCAACTTTTTCGTAAATGTCTGCTTGTCACAAGCTTGAATAGCAGGTGTTAAAGAGGGCTATAAACTGTGATTACAAGTGACTTAAGAGTGACCGGTTAATCATCTATTAACTCTAAGTAGACTCCACACAGAGCATGCCTGAAAACTTGCTGGATTTGCTGTATGTTCTGAAAGTCTCCCATCTTGTAAAGTGTTTTTCCACAAATTCTTTCAGGAAAGCCCAAGGTGTATCAAGGTGTTAGAGTAAAGATTACAGTTAAGGAGTTACTGCAGCAGAGAAGAGCACGACAAGCAGCAACTGGTGCAGCGGTAAGTAAAAATCTTTTGGTGTCTGCTTTGTCTCTTCTCTCTTAACCTTTTTTGCCACAACTGTAATCTCTGGGCCAAGGAGACTGCCAAAGTCTGAGTGTAGCAGGCTGGTGAGGCTGGGGGAGAAGAACATTCAGCCAGGGTAACTGCAGCAGTAATCTAAACAGGTGATGGTCTGAGCCATTAGTGCAGGGAGAAAGCAGAGCTGGTGCTCCAGAAATGTAACTCTCTCTGGGCTGGAAGGATCACATGGACAAATTTCAGTCCAACTTACAGTTATCACAGCAACTCCAGTATCATTATGCTGGATGAGCAAGGCAGGCCATGGTCACTGCCCCCCATTTAAAATGTGACCTGGCTGGGCTGAAGCACGCACCAAACTGTTTTGCATCAGGTGAAGCATATGCCCAGGGCATGCCTTCGACCCGACCTGTGCAGCTTTGAGGAGCAACCAGTGCAAAGCTCTGTCACACTAAAGCTCCTCTAACTGCCCCCTTTTCCACAAGTCTCAGTCCCCCAGGAAGCTGCTCTCAACCACCCCCTACCCCTGGAGGCTTTCTCTTGTCCAGTTAGATCGGGCAGGAAACTAAGGCACCAGAGGTACAGTGCCTCCAGCAGCTCCCAGGCAGCGGACAGGGTTTGGGAACTTGGGGCTTAGCAACAGGCCCAAATTTTGGCTAGCAGAAAGGAAGAAAACAAAGCATGGGCAAAGACCCCTTAAGCAGGGCTCCATCCTGCTCAATTAGAGCTCCTTAGCATAATATTCAAGCGTGCTTGACTGAATTCAGGTCTCCAACATTTCTCAGTTCCACCTGGGCAGCTCCTAGCCCCATCCCTTCTAAAGGAGGGGACGGAGCGGTCCTACACACATGT